CCTTGCTCTCTATGATGCAAGCCGTCAGACAAAACTCTTCACAGATGCATCTTCCTAGTGGTTCTACTGCAAAACCATGATGACCAATGGTGCCGTCGCTTATGCCTCAAGAGCTATGAGGCCTACAGAACAGTGCCATGCCCAAATTGAGAAGGAAGCATTGGGCAAAGCTTGGGCAAGTAAATGCTAAAGGGAGTGGATGCATGGAACAAATTTTTACACTGTGTAATATACTAGAGCGATGCACTGAATGGAATAGGCAGCTGTACATAAATTTCATAGACTATGAAAAAGCTTTTGATAGCATCCACAGGGGCAGTCTCTGACAGATCTTAGAGCATATGGCATTCTGCAACGCATTGTTGAGGTCATCAAATGCTTCTGTTCAAACTTAACATGCTGTGTTGGTCAGGGGGATCTAGGGTTTGAAGTCAAGACTGGTGTACGTCAGGGATGTCCTGTCATGCATGCCTTTTAATATTGCCATTGACTGGGTCCTTCGTTGTACAATAACAGACCAGAAAAGAGGTATAAGATGGACCCCCTTTTCTACACTCAAAAACTGGCTTAGCATGTTTAGCAATCCGGTTGGCCTGACAATTGCTTGAAGAATATGAAAGCCATGAATGTGAATGTCTCTTCCCCGGCAATGATCAAGGTGAGAGGTCAAGATATTCCATACGTGGACAAGTCCACATACCTTGGAAGTGTGCTCTGTGAGGATGGCAGTACAATACTGTTTGGAAATACAACACACGCTGAATGAAGCAAGAAATGCCTTCATGGACTTAAGTGGGGAGGTCAGCAAGCTACAGCATTAAGTTGAAGATTAAGATCTACAAGAGCTGCATGCTGTTCACCCTACTTTACAGTGCTGAATGCTGGCAAATAACTGAGCATGACCTTTCAAGCCCAGCAGCTTTCCACACAACTAATCTCGGGAAGATTCTAAGAATCTTCTAGCCCTGGAGAATCTCTAATGACAAGTTCCTGAGGCAAGCTAAACATAAGGGTATTTGCACAATTATTGCCAGAGAAGATGGAGATGGTGGATTGGGCATGCTTTTTGAAAGGATAACAACTAATAGCGAGAATAGCAATGCGACGGCTACCAGAGGGCAAGTATAGAAGAGGACGCCCAAAACCAACATGGTGCAGAACGGTGGATGAGGAGTTGAGAGAACTCAAATACAACTAGAGCACAATTGAAAAACTGGCTAAGAATAGGCAGGGTTGGCATGATTTTGTTGCTGCTCTATGTGCCATACCTGGCATAGTGAGCGGAAAGTATGTTTGGAAGACAAATTCAGTTAAATGTTTACAAGTGACATGAGAAACACAAATATTAGATTGTCTTCTGCGCATGCATTTACCGAAAATGGATCATAAACGTGCATTAATTTAAACTAAATTTAGTTTATCAGATTAAAAAGATTAATATGAGAAGATTGATCTAAAACGATTTAGCATGTTATTTAGCCACAAAGTGCCATTGCGATTTTACTGACTTAATTAAATGTAGATGTAGAATAAATACTTTATTGAGCCACCTTGTTTGATCCGCATTGGAGAATGTCGGTCTGTTTTTTTTACAAGTTTATGGTTTTTGCCTATCAATTGGTCCATAAACCTGCAAAATAATACCCGACCAATATTTCTCCAATATCAACCTCACACTAGTTCAGTGGTATGTGTGTGGAAAACTGTTGCTAATGATTTACTTTAAACATCCCTAGAGATGGCAGGTTGGAAGAAGGGCGGTGTTCACTGGAGGACATTGCCACACGATTGGTTAAATTTTTAACTGGTAAGTAAAACAAATTTTGTGTCTTGAAAATCAGTCAGTATTCTTGTTTATATTTTAGTGATTTATTCTCTTGCAGAAGATTATCAAAGAAGACTAGAAAACTTCTTTGAAGA